CCACACCAATCAATGTTAAGGTCAGCAGTAGATTTGCACGGAACCATTTTAAACACTGAACATGTTGTTTGTAAAGTCATATTACTTGGTCATTGAAGTGAATTAAGTCAAATGCTGCTACTACTACTACTACTACTATTATCACTACTACTACTACTACTACTACTACTACCACCACTACTACTAACACTACTACTACCACTACTACTACTACTACTACTACTACTACTACTACTACTACTACTACTACTACTACTACTACTACTACTACTACTACTACTACTCTACTACTACTACTGCTGCTACTACCAGTACTACAACTGCTGCTGCAGCTACTACTACTGCTGCTGCTGCTGCTACTACTACTACTACTATAATACTATTAATAATAATAATACGCACCCCACCAAGGCAGCCTTTGGGATCGGAGTTCCGTCTTTTACACATATTTGTTGTTGTTGATGTTGTTGTTGTTGATGTTGTTGATATTGATGTTGTTGTTGTTGTTTGTTGTTGTTGATGTTGTTGTTGTGGATGTTGTTGTTGTCGGATGTTGCTCCTTGCTAACTCGATGTTTTCTCTATCGGTAAGTTTTTGGGGTTTTAATTTTTATTAGTATCATTACTGTTATTATTATTATTAGTATCATTATTATTATTATTATTATTATTATTATTATTATTATTATTATTATTATAGATATGTTTGCGTTCAAATAAATTATGTTTGCCTGTGCTTAAAATGAAAGAAAAATATTCCATTCTTCATATTACTACCATTTCCGTTTAACCCGACAAACTAATAATAATAATAATAAAAAGAAGAAGAAAAGAAAAAAAAAGAAGAAAAAAAAAGAAGAAGAAAGAGAAGAAGAAGAAGAAGAAGGAGAAACAGTTTCACACGCCAAATTGTAAGCAAAGGCCAAAACACTTCACATTTAAGATCATAACGCAAGCACACACAGCTTAATGACATGATGTTCTAATTAAAAATATTATGATATACACAAAAACATTTGTTTGTTCGTTCGTTCGTTCGTTTGTTCATTCATTCATTCATTTACATATTCGCCAATTTATATGTTCTAATTCATGTTAATGTAAGATTTGTGTGATTATACAGACACACACACACCACATACAAACACATACCACACATACAAACACACACCCACACACAAACACACACATACAACATATTAGTACAAACACACACATATATACACACAGACAAACACATTCAAACAAATAAACAAACAATAGTTGACAGTTTGAAGTTCAAAGTGTATTAAATTCGTTGTGTACCGACTGTTGCTAATAACTTTCACCGAATGGTTGTAAAAATAAAACCGTTATGAATGTTTTTATGTATGTGTATGTGTTCATGTGTATATATGTACGTCTGTCTGTATGTGTGTGTATGTATGTATGTGTGTATGTGTATGAAGGTGTGTATACAAAAATTTTTTTAGCCAGATCAAAACACTTGGCAGGAATATTGAAATGATAGTTCATTGGTACTGTGTTGCCATATGACAATAATTGCTTTTTAATCTAATATAATTTTATCGATTATCATCACTAATACACCATCGTCGTCATCATCATCATAATGTCATCATCATCATTGTCATCATCATCATCATCGTCGTAGTCGTCATAAACTTCAATGAATATTTCACCATAGAACTTAATCCATAATTAGCTTGCAGAGCCTTGAAATTTTGAATGCGTTCTCTTTACTATTGACAATTCTATTGACAATAATGATAATAATAATAACAACAACAAAAATAATAATAATAATAATATATTTATTATTTAATAATAATACGGGTTTGTCTCAAGTGCTTATCAGCATCATCATTGTTATTATTGATATAACCATCGTCATCTCTCTCTCTCTCTTTTTCTCTCTCTCTCTCCTCTCTCTCTCTCTCTCTCTCTAACTTTCTCTGTATGTATGTGTTTGTGTGTGTGTGTTTGTATGTATTATTACTATTGTTGTTAACATTACTATTGTTTCTCATCGGTATCAAATACAAACTCGGCCACCGAAAATTAAAACTACTACCAAATTACAAATAAATAAACAATAAAAATTAATAATTACTTTTAATTAATTAATCAATTAATTAATGTATGTAACCTTTGCGTCGGTTAATTATTTAATTAATGACGTTGTAATTAACCCAATTAAGCCGAAGATTGTAATGCAACACAGTTATTTACGTATACATTGGCTGCTTTTTCTTAATTAGATAATTTATTTTTTATTTACTTCATATTAATTGTAATAACTTTTAATAATTAATTTATTCAATAATAATTTTATTTAATTTTTTTAATCATTTTATTTAATAATAATAATAGCTTCAAATTTGATATGCGGCGTTAAAAACCTTTCAAGTTTGTGAAGAACGTATTCAAACGCGTATATATACCGGTCTGTATGTATGTATGTATGTATGTATATATGTATGTATGTATGTATGTATGTATGTATGTATGTTTGTATATTTGTATGTATGTATGTTTGTGTGTTTGTGTGTGTGCAACAGGCATTAGCCAAGCAAACAAGTAATTTGTGGGAATAATGATCGGATGTATCCGTGTGCTTCCTCAGTTTGAATGACTGAATCGTCGGTATCATTACATTTATTATTATTCTTATTATTTTTCTTTTTCTCCTCATTATTATTGTTATTATAATTATTATTGTTGTTGTAGTAGTTGCTGTTGTTGTTGATGGCTGATGGTTTTGTTGTTGTTATTTTCAATCTTAAGTTTTAGTAAAAGGAGTAGCTATATAAGTAGCAGTACTAGCGGTTTTGTGGTATAAGTAGTAGTAGTATTAGTGGTAGTGGTAGTAGCAGCAGCAGTAACTGTAGCAGTATTAGTATTAGCAGTAATTTTTTCTATCATTATTTAAACAAACTCTGTGTAGGCAGTTTGATTATTTGGTTGAGTTGTTATTATTTAGTTTTATATCATGTCATTATACAGCGGAGGTTGACGATTATGTGTGTGTGTGTGTGTGTGTATATGTGTGTCTATATGTGTATGTATGTATGTGTGTTTGTATGTTTGTTTGTATGTGTGTGTGAATGTTTGTTTGTATGTGTGTTTGTTTGTGTGTGTGTGTGTGTATGTTTGTTTGTATATGTGTGTGTATGTGTGTTTGTTTGTATGTGTTTGTATGTATGTATGTGTACGTGTTTATAGTTCTATATGAAAGAAAATTCTGTTTCAGTATCATTTCATAACGTTTTGTGACAGAGTTATTATTATTATTCTATTATTATTTTTTAATTATTATTATTATTATAATATTCAAATGTTTACCTTCTGTAATTTTATTTTTTTTTTGTATGAACGTTTTCATGTCGTTGTTTACACAATTATAAACTTTAATAATAATAATAATAATCATAATAATAACAACAACAACAATAATAATAATAACAATAATAATAATAACCACAATAATTATACCTTTAAAAGTGACATTAATAAAAAAGTTTAAATTTTGGCAAATTTTACCCCCGAAGTGCTTGCATATAGCGAAGTTTAGAGTCGGGCGAAATAATAATGGCTGATGGTAGTGAGTTAATAATTGTTGCGATTATGTATTTTATTATAAATAATAATAGTAATAGTAAAAAGTTCGGAGTTTTAGCTAGAATTAATGAAAGCCCCTCTCATGTTATAGCTATTGAAGGTGAGAACTGTAATAGTAATAATAACAATAATAATAATAATTATTATTATTATTATTGTTATTATTATCATCATCATTATTATTATTATAATGATTATGATAATAATGATTATAATAATAAGAATAATTATGATAATAACAATTGTGACTGGATGAACGAACGAGCGAAGAAAAGAAAATAACTTAACCTTTCACCATTCAACCACTGAAACT